CATGAATTTCAATGTGTTCAGAAGTCAAATAGGGTGCCTTGAGAGAATTTTCAATTCATTTTTGAATTTCAGTATATTTAAATCAAAATTAACTTCATTGTTCAGGCTGTATACTTATTTTTTAAATTTAACAACAAATAGTTTCAAAACGTTGCTGCATTTACTATGAAAAAAATTTCTATTTCAAGGCATGTAGGGCTGAGTTGATTGTTACGGATGATTAGAGCAGGTGCACTTACACACTGGTGGTTAACTCGAACTTGTCAAAGGAGGTTTGCAAAGGTGAACTGTGGTATTCTTTCCATGCTACAATCTCAAGACAGTGCTGTTTGGCATGACACTGGTTGTATCAATGAGGGATGGAAAGTTGTGAGCATAAATAACAAAGTGACTCATTTCAAAGTTGTTGCCCAAATCATTCCACTTCTTCTTTTATGATTTATGGCTTTTGAGATTTTTCAGGTCCTATTCTTAGCTAATTTTATAAAAGTGTTTGGCGATAAATCATCATAAATCCATAATTTATAGTTCTCCAGTGAAATATAGAAAGTAAGAACCGTTTTATTTTGTGTTTGTTTGCTTAGGCTTTTTATTACATTAATTATTTTTAAGATCTCATGTTGGGTTTTTTCTTACTACTGAAGTTTTCATTGCTGATAGGGGATATGCTATATTGGTTCTTGCATCTATAATGGGACATTATACTAGCTTTCCTTAGACTGAGATTGTTAGAAGAAAATGGCTTTCCTGAAGTTTAATTCCTCAGAAATAACCTCGTGTTTTATGCACTTAGTCCTTTTATCCTTGGGGATTTGACCCACTTGAAAATTTAGAATAGATTCAGATGTAAAAGGAAATCTTGTTTTAAGAGATGTTTTAAGAGATTGTGCTATTACAGATAAACCCTTCTATGATTCCCATCAGTCACTTTTTGTGTGTCTGTAAAGTGTAAAAGCCTTAAACTACTTTATTTAAAGGACTAATTAATTCACCTAATTTGATGATTCAGAAGCAGTATGAACTAAGAATATGGATCTCATATTCTTAAATCCAGTCATTATGAACTCGGATGGCCAATGAGTTGGGAAAAGCATGGAGTTTAGGGAACAGCTATTGTGACTGAAGGGGCTAATGGTCAATGAGAGAAGAGCTCACAATTCATGATGTAGGAATCTTTTTTTCAGTGCCACACAGGGACCCATTAGCCTTACTAGACCATTTGACTCCTATGCCCAATATCCCTTCTCCCCCAATTGAAAATAAACAGATACAAGGTGGGTGTTACCTGTTGTTGGACCAATTTCTGTTACCTCACCCAGTTTGTTTCTCTAATCTCCTGAGACCAGCACTGCAAATGAACCAACCTAAAATGCAAACAACCACAACACAAGAAACACCATGCAAAACCAGGCTGGATTGGACAAGAGTACCTTGGTCATCTCTTGAATAACCCACAGTATAGGAACTTAACACTCAAGAGTGTGTATGTGTACTAAGGTAAATTGAGAGGCGTTTTAGTGAAATTGTGTGGGCTGCTCATAACATATTAACACACAATCTAGAGAATGGTTAGGGTAGTGGCAGGCAATAACTGGGTTGCCAGAGTTAACTCCTGGTGGGCAGCCACCACCTTATTTACCTGAGCCTCCCCAGGTATGGGTGGTTGCAGCTCCCATTGGCCATGGATCATTGTTCCTGGGGAACAGGAATTGTGCGAAGTGGTGTCCTGCTCTGTGCCACTTCCCACGGTTCTCATTGGCCATGAACAGTGATCCACAGCCAATGGGACCTGCAAGTGTTTGTACCTGCCGAGGTACAGGTAAATAAGGTGGTGGTGGCCCACCAGGGACTAACCTCAGCAAACCGCCACTGTCTTACTGGCCGTCCCTGACCTAAGGTGAACAAATAAATGTAAGGTTTTGGGCATAAGTTAGCCTAAGGGTAGAGAATTATGGGCTATTGAAGTTGCAGCTGAGAGAAAAGTGCAAAATAAATGAGTGTTGTGAGAAAGTAAGACCTAACAAGGACCTGACCTAGTGTCCTTATGTTTTAGTTATAATTGATTGAGCAAGGTTTTCAGTTAGTGTTTTTGAGAATGGTGAATGCTTTATGAAAATTTACCTAAATTGATAGTGTGAGAAGGATATTCATGCAGATGGTAATTTAAATGAGTAATGTAAAGAGCTAATAAGAAGGTGGCAGAAATACAGTTCTGATTAAGGCTGATTTAATATTAATTAGTAGTATAACGGTGCATAGAAGAAGTAGTTTAGCTAAATACAGGAAGAGCTCCAGTTAATAAAAAATGGACCTGGATCAGGACTATCAGGCTGTACCTCACACTGTTGTTAGTGGACAGATCACCCACTGATATAGCATTTCATCTTTGAGAAGGAGTATATTAGTAGCATTTGTGTAAGGAGTAACTGAATGCCTGCTTGCTTAACTAAAACTGCCTGCCAGTCACAATGCATTTTGGAATTGGTTCTATTCAATATCATCATCAACGGTTTAGATAATGGCATAGAGAGTATTATTAAGTTTGCAGATGATATCAAGCTAGGAGACGTTGCAAGTGCTTTGGAGGATAGGGTCATAATTCAAAATGGTCTGGTCAAACCAGAGAGATGATCTGAGGTAAAAGGGTGAAGTTTAAAAGGACAAATGCAAAGTACTCAATCAGTTTCATACACAGAGAATGGGAACTGACTGTCTAGGAAGGAATACAGCAAGATCATCTAGTTTCACTGAGTTTCAGAGTCCATGTCAAAGCTGTTGGCTGTTCTGGATTCAAAGCAGGGTAGAATGGGATAATGGTTTACACTCATAAGAGAGCATACAAAGTATTGAACTTCAGGTCATTCTCAATGTGCTCTATGGTTAGTTCCCAGAAAGTTCCTCAGACGCCTTTGTGTTGTCCAGAGTGTAGAAGAGTTTTATATGCAGGGCCCAGGACATCACCTAGCTATATTAGGGTGAGCTCCTGTACTTTGCCTAGGGTACAGGGTCTTAGAATCATAGAAGATTAGGTTAGAAAGAGACCTCAAGAGGTCATCTAGTCTATCCCTCTAGTTTCAAAGCAGGGCCAATCTCAACTATAACATTCCAGGCAGGGCTACGTCAAGCTGGACCTTAAAAACTGCTAAGGATGGAAATTCCACCACCTCCCTAGGCATCTTATTCCAGTGCTTCCTCCTCCTCCTGTGAAATAGTTTTTTCCTAATATCCATCTTAGATCTTCCACACTGTGACTTGAAACCATTGCTCTTCATTCTGTCATCTGCCTCCAGTGTCAACAGCCTAGCTCCATCCTCTTTGGAAACTCTCTGTAGTAGGGCATGGAATTCTTCCATCCTAAGTGCAGGACTCTACCCTTGTCCTTGTTGAACCTTATCAGATTTTCTTTTGGCCCAGTCCTCCAATTGGTCTTGGTTACTCTAGACCCCATCCCTACCCTCCTGCATATTTACCTCTGTCTCCAGTTTACTGTCATCCACAAACTGGCTGTGCATGCAACCCATCCCATCATCTAAATTGCTGCTTGTGGGCTGGGTCTGGTCCCTAGGGTATGTCCCTGGTGGGCCCTCACCTCTAAATTCACCTGCACCTCCACAGGTAGTGGGCGATCACAGATCTCATTGGCCACGGATTGCCATCTGTGGCCAGTGGGAATGGCTGGAAGTGGTGTCCCAGTCCATGCCACTAGGGATCAGCAGCCAATGAGCTGTTTGCGCCAAAACCTGCAGAAGTGCAGGTAAATAGAGTGGTGGCATCCTACCAGGGACTAACCCTGGCAGGCCACCGTTTTTTTTTTAATTGCCCACCATGATTAACATCTTTATTAATGATCTAGAAGAAAACTGACCCCAGGTCTTGAAGTAATTTTATTTTGTCTTCGTGCTGTTGGTCAGTTGGTGGATCCCATCTTCAAATAGTCTGGATTTGTCATAATTATCTTGTACTTTGACTGTTATGGACCTGGTATTTAGGAAAAAGTAATTTTTGGTTTTCAATGACCAAACCAAGATCCAAACAATGGTTTTAAAAACATTAAATGAGACTTGAATATTTAACACAGTATATATCAGTGGTCCCCAACCTTTTGGGGCCGCGCATGCGCCCGGGGGCGGGGCTACTCATACGCTGCATGCCCGGAGCTGGCACCACCCATGCGCCGCACGCCTGGGGCTGGTGCCGCAACTGTGCTGCACGCCCAGCGGTGGGGCTGCCCGCACGCCCAGCCCAGCGGTGGGGCTGCCCATACGCCTCGCGTCCAGGGCCAGAACAGCCCATGTCCTATGCACCCGGGGGCGGGGCCACCACTGCCGATGTGCTGCGTGTCCTGAGCCGGAGCCTGTGCCACGCGCCCAGGAGCTGGCAGCGCCCATGCACCGCGCACCTGATGTCGGGGCTGCCCATGTGCTGCGTGCCCGGGCCGGCATGTCCAGGGCCGGCACAGACCTCGCGCCGTGCGCCAAGGGGTGGGGCTACCTAACCGCTGTGCACCCAGGGCTGGCACTGACCATGTGCTGCGCACCTGGGGCCAGCACCACCCATGCGCTGCGCGTCCGGGGGCGGAGTCGGCCCCAATCACTCGGCGGGCGCGCAGAAATGGCCTGGCGGGTGCTACGGCGCCTGCGGGCACTGCGTTGGGGACCACTGGTGTGTATATAGTATATATCTTTTGAGAGAGATAATTCATTTGGTTAAATAAGATGTGTTGTTGAAAGTTACATTTTTCTTCTAAAACAAAAGGTGCTATGAATGCATCCTTCTAAGGTTTGATTGCTGATTATTGCAAATGTGTTCAAATGAACATTTTTTGTGCTGTGTGTAAATAGTGAATTATTTGTTAATTGATTAAAATTTATTTTTAAATTTAAAGAACCTGTAGGACCATTTTTGAAGGAAGCTGTGAAATCGCTGTGGTTGATCTCTGTGTGAGTGTGAGTGTGAATGAACAAGCTGCTACATTAATTTTTTTTCTTGTAATTTTTCAGGGCCGCTGAGATCCTTTATTCTTTGGCTCTAGTGAGGTCTAAAAAATCTGTTAAGATGAATGCATTTCCTTCAGTGGACCATTATACATTGCTGACTGAAGCTAGAAGGAACCTAGGACTCTTTCAGCACCATGATGCCATCACCGGAACATCTAAAGATTGGGTAGTTGTGGACTATGGCACTAGGTAAAGTAACTTAATGAGTATGTGAACTTAAAAATTTTAACTTATTTTCTCCTGTGCTTTTGTTTCTTATGAATATATTATATTTATAGAGTCCCACAATATATACCACTAAGAAAATATTACTACTTTGTATTTTATCATCTTATATCTCAGCATATCCCTATGTAGCAGGCAAGTATTTTACCTATTTTGTAGAATAAGAAAATTGAGGCACATAAAGGCTACAGTGTGCACAGAGGTCACAAATAGGGCTGTCAAATGATTAAAAAATTAATAGCAATTAATCGCACTATAAAACAATTAGAATACTATCTGTTTTAATATTTTGGGTGTTTTCTATGTCTTCTAATGTATTGATTTCAGTTACAACACAGAAAACAAAATTTACAGTGCTCACTTGATATTTATTTTTTATTACAAAACATTTACACTGTAAAAAAAAAAAAAAAAAACCAACCCAAAAACTTCAGTTCACCTCACTGAAGTATTGTAGTACAAATTCTATCATAAAAGCTGAACTTAAATTCTTCTATATAATCAATATATTTGTGTCCTATTCAAAAGAGTTCTTTTTTAGCTTAGTCCCAGCTGAGCCAGAATGGGGGAGACTCTGCCATGGGCAGTGCAGAGTTTGGAGTGGGGTGGAGGGGAGCTCAGCCCCCAACTGCAGGTGGCATAGGGCTCAGAGGAGGTGTCAGCCTCTGGGCTGGTGCGGGGCGGGGGGTAGACGCTACCATGGGCAGTGCAGAGTTCGGGATTTAGGGGGGGGTCAGTTCCAGCCCCAGGAGGCAAAGAGAGGATGACTTCGGTGAGCCCTGCTGGTGCGAGGACAGCTTTAGCAAGTCCCCTCCCCCCCCACCTCCAGGTTGTTTTATTTTAAAAAATATGGTCACCTGGGAGTGGAGGGATGGGTGTCAGTGTATTTACTTTTCTTGTTTACTTCTCCCTTCGATCTGGAACCAAGTCTTGAGGTTTTTCCCCACTTTTTGGGCTGCTTTGTTTTTCCATGCGCCCTCTGGTGTCAGTTTGCCTTACTGCACCTTACCAGAGATCGTCTCTGGGGCAGGTCATGCTGGTTTGTTGACCTCTGTGGCTAATGCGTTAATTCTGCCCTGCGTTAATCGGAATGGGAAGAGAACTCATTTATTTATACAGTACTTTGATAGAATAATTTGCAATATTTTCCGAAGTATTTGCAAAGTAGAGATATTGCTTTTAACACTCGTCCACCCACACTTATAGCTATATTAATGTAGGCTTTATTTAGAACATTTCTATGTCTAGAAGATTTGAAAAGTTGGTAGTGGTAAATATGTTGAATGGATGTCTTATTGGTGGAGAGAGAATACTGTGCTGGATAAGCCAATGTTAAGAATAATGCCCTCTTCTGTTTCTAACTTACAGAAGTTTTAAATAACTTATATTTAAAACAATGCTCAAAACATTCCTATTTGTTGATCATGTATATACGTGCCATTTGGAATGTGAGGGAAAGCTAGATCAGTTCCCATGTAACGTTAATTCTCCCAAGTATTGAATGTAAAAGAGTTCAATATTGTATAAATTATTAATTTCCTTTATCTGTGTTTGTAATATAAGGAAAATTGGGTGCCCTTCTAAAAGAATACTTAAAGTGCTTGGTGTTATCAGTATAGTTTGATTTGCTATGTATACATGCCTATAAATTCTTCACTGATTATCAAAGGGACTTGGGGCATTCTGATTTGAATATCACTTGTTCCTTAGGCTATAAGAAGGTGCATGGCATGTATTGTATTTGTATTTAAGTCAGCAGGGGCCTCTCGGTGGTTAGCACTCTTGTAAATTAGGATAGTTCTGTCGATGCCTTAATGCAGATATAGAAATTTAACTTTGAGGTACATATGTTTAAAACCCTGGCTTCATCTTGCCACATATATACGTCTACTAAGAGAAGGTAAAGCAAAAAAGCCTTTATTGATAATCTTGGCTCATCAGTTATGTGGTTACTCTGAGACTAAAAAAATGGTCATTGCTCTAATAATGGAAAAATAAGAAATCAAAATGAAAATCTCTCATCTTATGAGGTGAGGAAAAGAAACATAGTATAGAAATCTCAAATAAAAAAGAGAGGCTAGAAAGAGATTCAGCCTGTTATTGATTGAGGATCATTCAGACTCCAATCCTTCTGATACAAAGAATAAACCCAAGAAAGGCTATTCCCTCCAAACCATAATTAAACACTTTTTAGTGAGATAACCAGAAGAAGATAAAACTAGTACTAGACAAACAAGACTGGGGGGGATAGTAAGACTATAAAAATATTTTGTGTTCTATTCCAGATAGAAAGTATGGCTTACCCTTCTCTGTGGAAGATGATAAAGAGCAAATGAGTGCCAAAAAGAAATTATAATATCGGACTAGGCAAATTCAATAATTTTATGAAGGCCAAAGAGCTAAGATTTTGTATGGTTCCCAGAGTGGAAGCATTGTGAGTCTCCATGATGAATGCAGCATTGTTGTTTTTGGGTGCATGCTTCCTGCTTAGTGAATAGATAGTGTAAGGAAACTGCCCTCTAACATGACGGTTACATGATGACTTATCTGCAACCTTAAAGAATGTTGTAGCTTCTACAGATGTTTCCTAAGCCATCCTCTCATAGAATGATAAATTTGGAAGTTCTTCAGGGCAAAGAAGATGATAATCATATGAGTTATACTAGAAAACTATTTTTGTGTGTCCTATTTGTATCTATGCTATTCTGCATTCCCCTTGCTTCACAGCAGGAGATAAGATATTGGTTAAAAACTTCAGTATTGATGGAACTGCACCACAGAAACCATAAGGCATGTTGGATACTGGTACCATCATCAAGCCTAAAAACCCAAGGGTTACAAGCTGAGAGGTTTTGTTACTATCTGACAAAGGAGTCAATGAGATAATAGTGCCTCTTCTAAAATCGCACTAATGAAGAGAAGACCACAGTACTAAGCACTTCCACAGGGTGCACTTTTCTGGGTGATCTTTACACCAAAAGAAGTTACAGCCTCAGACTTCAATGCTGACATGCCAGAAGAGACAGACCCTACTGGTACTGATCACCACCACTGTGCTGCGGGATTTTTTTCCCTCCAGGAACTTGTTGGTTTCTTAAACACCTGAATCCCTGCTACTAAGTATCAGCAGTAATGAGTACTTGGTTTCTAGAATCCCCCATGGTACCAAAACACTCACCTCTGGTCTCTTTGTTTAGTGACAAAGTAAATTGCAGAGTGAATGACAACCTCTCCTTAGCCTTGGTGCACACCTCACTAGAGCAACAACCAAGGACTAATCAATTACAGGTGTGTACAGAACCTCAACCCCCCTTTTGTAATGGGATATCCTTAGGTGTCATTACTGATGCCCTTTTAATCCAGCCTTGTAGCCTTATTGAGATCAATGGATGCCCTGCAGACACCAGCCCTCTAGGACCTCAAGCATCTCCCATCGGCAGAGTGGAAGACCGGCTCCCTCAGCTGTCCTTTCTTGATTCCCAATCCCCAAGAGGAGACCTTTGAGGAGCAAGAGGCTAGTACGGAACAGGACATTACTCTGCCAACAAATATTTCCTCAGCTTTTCTGGATGACGTTGCAATGCCGCTTCTGCCATTAATGGCTGACAATTTAAAACAATTCCAGGACTTCACCCAAGAGGTTGTTGATTTTCAAATTCCCCTAGAAGAGGTATAGAAGTCACATTATAAACTGTTGAATGTCCTACATATTTCACAAATTTCACAGATAGTGCTTCCGATAAACAAGGGACTACTTGTCGATGGCTATGGATTTTCTTCTCACTCATCTCAAAATTCCCTTGTTGTAGATTCTGTAAATAGGAAATACAGCGTCAACTTCCTACAACAAGGATTTGAAAAGACTAGAGTTTTTTTAGCAGACCATTGTATCTACCACAACCCTACAGTTTAGGATTGCAAATTATCAGGTGCCAATGAGGAAATATAATCATATCAACTATCGGAAATGTAGTGCTTTTGTTGATCATCTCCTAGATGACCAAAAAAGAACAGTGCCAAGTAATCATTGCCATGGGTTAGCAACTAAGAAGAATGGCACTGCAGATAGCGGCCAGCTTTGTATCAGTGGCATTGGTGATGGGGAGAGCTTCCTAGCTTCACCTTTCTGGTCTAGAAAGGGAAATCCAAACAACGGTAGAGGACTTTCCATTTGAGGGATCTAAACTGTTTGCAGAAAAGATAGATTCCTTACTCTGTACGCTAAAGGACTGAAATAATGTTTCCCTCTTTCTAGAGAGAGCTTTCAGGGTGGCACAGAAAACACAATACAGTAAGCTGCAAACTATGGGATCAGCAAGATCAAACTGCATTAAATATTGCTATCATGCCTACGATATTCAATACCTATCTGGAAACCAAATTCATTTCACAAGATCTGTTTCCACTTCTGTAGCCTTCATCAGGAGTGTTCACATTACAGAAATATGCAGGGCAGAAATTTGGGCATCTTCCCAGATGTTTTTCAGGATATTGTGAAATTATCCATGACTCATCATCTGATACCATGTTTGGGTCTAGAGTGTTAGCATCAGTAGGAGATAGTGGAACTCGCATAGAAAAAGTGAAGCCGGAAAACCAGTAATAAACTTATCTGGGTGGCATCGTTCACAATATTGGAGACTGTGTTTGGCATGAAGCCCTGAATAGGTAACGTAAGTGCTGTATTTAAAAAATCTTGTGATATGGAAGGTCCAGTGTGATTAGCAAAAACATCACACTGACTTGTGCTTTTAAAGACCTTAAGAAACCTCTTCTATGGAACAGAGTCCTAGAAAAAAACTATATCTAGTGCACACTGAAATAGCTCTTAGTACTGATGTCTAATAGACTATCCAAAGTAAAATTAACTGGTTATTTAGTGTAATTAAAGAGGTCTTTGGTCACACCTACTTACATAGCAAGTAGTACATGAGAATTTGGACAAATTTGGGACATCTTTTAAGAATGCTCAGTAATTTGCTACATAAACTAACATTTCTTTGCTGATTCCTGAGCAAGGCATGGAAAAGTTGACCTAGAGGCACACTCTGTAGCATATTAATGGCTGAAACTGCATTACTGTTGCTAAATATGAGAGAGCTAGAAACAGGAGCCCAGAATAGGGATTATATGCCTTCCTCATATACTGTACTTCTGATGATGTGGCAAAGATGGTCATGATTTTTGGGTGGCCATATTGAGACTGGGTAAATGGGGATCTAATTTTCAGGAGACTGGTGTTAAATACTTCCTCAAATTAGGGTCTTATAAGATATCTCAGGTAACAACTGAAAATTCTGTTGACAGGCTTTTCCATTCATTAATGAATTTGAAGAGGGTGATCATTGACTCTGCTCATGTTCTTATCCTAAAAGACACAGATACCTATATCTTTAACCCGTCGTCTCCATTCCTTAAGATGGTGAGTTGTCCTACTTCCTTCTTTGTATTTTTGTGAAGTTATATGAATAATATTTTAATACTGAATATGAGTGTTGTGGAATTCAACTTAAGTTCACTTCTACTTTGAAAATTAATTATGTAAAGATGGTCCTGTCTTGCTCAGTAGATCTAGTCTCTGGATATTCTTGGAATTAAAGTTGTTGATGATGGCAAACATATATTTTACTACTTTTTGTCATTTGTCCTAAAGAATCTACTTATCTGAAACTGAGTGAAGTTTCCATGTTGTGCATCATCAAAATAATTTATCTATTTTCCCATTATCTACATCTACTACTATTTGTGCTACCTATCATCAATTTTTACAAGTGTAACTATGGGGCTAACTTGATATGCACATCAAAATTACTTACAGTAATGTAGGAGGAAGAAAGAGCTCATCTTGAATCTAAGTCCACATTGATTGTGCAATATTGGCATATAGACCAGGCATATTCTTATTTGTAAATTTGAGAGAATTTGATAGGGGAATCTATTGAGGAACAAAGATCACAAAATTCACACAGGCCATTTTTGAAGAGTTATTTCCAGAAAAGAGAAACATTAAAGACATATTTTTAATTTAAATAAAATAAATACTGTAATATTTTAGTCAGTCATCTTTTAACAAACTAATTGTATTATTCTTTACCAAAATTCTTTGTTGTATTTTTAAATTGCCTGGTTAGACACTCTAAAGTTAAAGGTTGCACACATCTTAACTCTGCTTTTGCTTTTTACACACCCTCTAAGTTACATGGTCATATGACACTTAAGTAATGTAATATAATATGTGAAAGTGATTTTATAATCAACAATGTACATAAATAATATCTTGAAATATTTTTTCGTTGATATTTATGCTATTTCATTTTTGCATATCTTTAATTACTTTGACTTTTTAAGGTACATTAATTGGTCAGCATCTGTGCAGTCACAGATCTAGTCAAGAGCACCTTCTGGGGCTCTCATTGCTCTGCTGTCAGAGGAATCCTGCCTCTGGGTACTTGAGGGTATATCCACAGTGCAATAAAACATGGCAGGCTCGTGTCAAGTGTCTCAACCTGGGAAGTCCTGGGCTGCAGAGCTATGAAAATTGTAGTGTAGACCTATGGGCTCGGTGGATCTAAGTGACCTCTCCAGTGATAAATCAGCTTTCCTAATTGAGAGCCAGTCTTCTGTCAAGTAAACCAATGGCTTCTGTAACTAAATTGCAGGACTATAGTACCTGTGAGGGTAAATGTCCAGTAATAAAAACTGAAATAATTTGTAAACTACACCATATATGATGGTGATTAGAAGATCTAGAACACAGCTGTAGAAATGTGTATAGGCATCAGTAAGTTTGAAGGTTGGAATTAACAGTAAATGACTTAATGGAGATAATGATTTTAATTGGATAAATAAATATACATTTTTCTTTTCTATCAAAATCTATTTAGACAGGTATGTTCATAATCTCCTTGCCTTAGGTGCAGGGTTGTAGATGATTATCTGGTGAAGTGGGGACTAGTATCTTCCTGCATATTGTGGTACGTTAGATTTCAATGGAAGTAATTATTGGTGTGGTGTCGATAGTGCATTTGTGTGTGCGTATGTGTGTGTTCTTCCAAAATCAAAACGTTATGCTTTCTAGTTTGATTTATATACATTAAAAGGCAAATTCAAAGTTTTTTTTTCCTCCCTGCAGGATGATGTTCAGTCTTCACAAGATTCTCTGCCACGCAAGACAGTCATAAAGCTGAGTACACAGCCAAGGTAAATAATACATGAATATGCAGTATTTGAAAGCTTCCATGTAGCAATGTGACTTCTGCTAATCACTTAAGAAATTAAGTGTTTTTAATTTTTGTCCAGTTTATGTTGTCCTGAACTAATTAGTTTTGGTAAAATTTAATTTCATAGTGAATTTTCCAAAATTAAAATTTTTCCCTATAGTGGAAGTTTCCTGCTTTATTCATGTTAAATGTTAGCATAAATGGAATCCTAAGATTGCAATTTATAAGATATGCTGGCTTTCCTTTCAGAGCTTAAAGTTTATTTAAATGATAGCTGTAGCTAAGTCTCGTTAAATAACACTTTGGTTAATGAAAACCAAAATCTTTGAAAGGTTGACTGAAGTCCAGTGGCTGTCGAGTTGCGGAAGAGCCTGGTCCTCCACTACTTGAGCCATCCATTCTTAGTTTTGAGCTAACAGATGTAGCCTTTCTCCACAAATAGCACATGACAGTTCACAATGATTTGTTATGGAAATTTTATCTAGTATCGAAATATGACAGTATTATTAAAAGCCAACCCTTCCCTTGTGTTCTTGTCTGTTGCTGAAGCAATCTGGCTTTATGATGCTTTTCCTCTGCACCTTGCTTCCAAGACTAATGCATATCTGGGCTACTCTGGATACCTGTTTTTATCCTTCCAAATGATTGAACAAGATACTATGAAGGTGGACTCCTGAAGTAGACAGTTGTGATATCACATTCTAAGGTAGTAATAACTCCCAGGAAGACACATAGAGATTCCATAGTCTTGTACACGAGTTTTCAACCTCTAGTCTACAAACCATGCATTCTACAGATTAAGTCTAACGTGTCTGTAAAAGGTGACTATGGAAAATAGTTTCAGATCCTAAAAAAGACATACTGATTTTCTCATCAATTAGAAATATATACAGTAAAACTCCATAGGTCCGACATCCAATGCTCCGGAACTTCATATGGTCCGGCACCATTGGGAACCCGGAAGTGCTCTGGGCAGGCAGACAATTGGAGCTACTCTGCGCCCGGCTTCCCCGATTCAGCCGCTGCTGAAACTGACCAGCAGCTGAATCGGGGGAGCTGGGAGCAGAGCAGCTGGGGGGGCG